AAGAGGAGGGTGGGAGTATTGAGCTCAAGGTTCTTCAGTTGTCCCTTTAGGAATAATCTCTTCAGCTTGGTGTGAGGGAAGGCTTCTTTCTGGCTAGACAGCCTTTGTGTGCGGTTCAGAATTAGTGCTACAGTACCTCTCTGGGGAAAATCTCCTCTTTGGATGGTCAGTGTGGTCTCTTGCTTCTGGGGAGAACAGTAGATATCCATGTTGTCCTCCCTGTGTTGTGATGGGAGAGGGCAATGGGCATGACTGTCATCTCCTCTGTTCCCAGAACAGACCCAGGAAAGCATTCAGCATTTTGAGCGACAGGCAGGGCTGACAGATGCTGGCTACACACCTCACAAGGGCCTCACCACCGAGGAGACCAAGTACCTTCGAGTGGCCGAAGCACTCCACGTAAGCTCTTAGGAACTTTCAAAAAACAAAACCTTCAGTGTTCATGGCTTGAAATGTGGCGTGGTTTCGAAGTTACCAGCTCAGTTAGTTGAGGACTGTGGAGTTAGTCTCGCTCCCGAGCTCTTAGCCTCGTAGTTTTGCTTATCCACCTATACAGTGGGTGTGTCTGTTTTGCTACTTCTGGTTAGCAGGATCGAGTGAGAGCCTCAGCTTACATATATATACGAGTACTTTATGAACCATAAAGCAAATGTGAAGTATCTTGGGGAGAACTAGGCAGCCTCAACAGAGGTAATAGTTTAACTGGAAAGGAACATCATGCTCTGCATTTAATTTTAACAAGTTAAAATCCAATGTGGAATTGGAATGTGTTTGCTATTTCTTTTCTATAAGTGAAGAATTTTAGTAAGGGTTAATTTAGTGACAGCCAAGTATTTGAATGAATAGTTTCAAATGACTTTCTTTCAGAGGAGACCACTTCATACTGGAGAGCATTTTGATTTGTGAAGCCCTTGCATTCATTTCATCCTCACAATCACCTTTTGGGGCAGATGCTCTTCTCCATATTTTGTCAATGAGGAGATTGAGGTTCGAGGCCATCTATTCAGCCGGTCATAGTACCCAAACCCAGGTCTCCTGATGCCTTACTTCCTGTTGGCTGCTTCCTCCTCCTTCCAAAGCAGCCTGGAAATCTAGCTCCTGAAGGGGCAGATTGTGAAGAGACGCAATTACAGTTAAGAAACTTGGACTGGCTTCTGTAGGCAAGGGTGGGTCAGAATCCAGGCTTGTTCCAAGCTTTAAGAGTTCTGAACAGGGTATGATGAGGGCAAGGTGAGGAGAGCACAAGAGGCCGGAAAGGGTCACGGTATACATTATATATAAGGAGAAATAACCTGGGTCTGGTGGCCTGTGGGGGATATAAAACACTGGCCTGTTTGCAGTCACCCGGGCTGAAGTACAGTGTTGCGCTCTCGGCTCACTGCAACCTCTACCTCCTGGGTTCAAGTGATCCTCCCACCTCAGCCTCCCAAATAGCTAGGATTACAGGCATGCACCACCATGCCTGGCTGATTTTTAGTAGAGACGGGGTTTCACCATGTTGGCCAGGCGGGTCTTGAACTCCTGACCTCATGTGATCCACCTGCCCCGGCCTCCCAAAGTGCTGATATTACATGTGTGAACCACCGCACCCGGCCCTGTTTGCATTTTGTAATGAGCATTCCAGATGATTCTTTTGCAGGCTAGGTTTAAAAACTGCTATAGGAAATCAGGTTTGGGCTGGTGGTCAGTTTAAGCTTTCAAACAAGGCCGATGCTTCCAGAGAGGGGTACCATCAGCCTTTGACACTTAACTGAGAACTTTCCAGTATAGGTCAGTGAGAATTCTATTTGAGCAATTCACCTTACATAACGGTAGGACTGACTTTGGTTGACTCATTTTCTGTGTCTTTCCCATAGGAGTAGAACATGAGGATGGCTGAAATATTAGCTGTAACTTACATCTTGTAACAGATTGTCAACTTACATGAATGGATCTGTTGAATGTTTGAGAAAATTCAAACGTGATCATTGTTTGGAGCACAGCTTGGGCTAAGCAGTGGCATGGCAGGCCCGGAGGGAGGAGACAGCATGGGAACCTTGTTCTAGAAGAGCTGAGATTAGACCTGTCTCTCCCTGCTAGACTGCGAGTCAGTTAGAGGAATGCTGACGGTGCTGAGGGAACCCAGAGTGGCTGACTATGGGAGAGGAGGAGGAGAGAATGGAGCAGGCTCCTCAGAGGAAGCATTTAGCTGAAGAGACCCACATGCCTGAGTCTTGGCTTGGAGAGACTGAGAATGGCAGGGCTTTGTCCGTGGTAGGAGCAGCAGCGAGACAAGAGCTTAAGCCCTGCTTAAAAGGCCAAGGCGGCTGGCAGCTGGAGTTCTGGCTCTTCCGTTTTACTGACTTGGGGGAATGTGGGGCAATTACTTCACTTTTCTGAAAGTAAAAGTTGTAGTGTAAAGCTTTAAGTACAGGGATGTTCACAATACAGTGTAGAATGAACACATTTTTTGAGGAGATGGAGTTCCATGTCCTTTGGCAAAAACAAAGGACTACCTGTTAGATCACTCGAAATCATTCCACCTGTGGATGTCTTGTGCTTAAAGTTAGAATGCGAACCAAATTGTTTATGCCTAGGCTTAGCTGTTTGCATTTGCTTTCATTTTTAAAAAGTCTCTCTTACCCATCTGAGCAGAAACTAAAGCTACAGAGTGGAGAGATAACAAAAGAAGAGAGGCAGCCTGCATCAGCCCAGTCCACCCCAAGCACCAGTCCACATTCTTCACCTAAGCAGAGGTCCAGGTGAGCCCTTCCTGTGACCCTTCCGAGTTCCCGTGTGCTTCAGGAAAGCTAGTGTGGCAGGCGCGGTTGTATTATTTCAGCCTGTGGTTTCGGAGGGAGAAGGGATAGTTCAGTTCCTGTTCTTTTGGTGTGAGACATTTCTAGGGGTGAAGGAAGAGGTATTTTAGGATATGTTTTGTTTTTTTTTCCAGGGGCTGGTTCACTTCTGGTTCTTCCACAGCCTTACTTGGCCCAAACCCCAGCACCATGGACTCTGGAAGTGGGGATAAGGACCGAAACTTGTCAGACAAGTGGAGCCTCTTTGGACCGAGATCTCTTCAAAAGTATGACTCTGGTAAGGCAGCGCCTTCAAAAAACAGAGCGGCATGGCAGGCATCTTACCATATTGTATATCGGGAGTTGCCTACTGGTTTTGAAATCATTCGCACTCTGGTTCACTTTTGTAGGAAGTTTTGCCACCCAGGCCTACCGAGGAGCCCAGAAGCCCTCTCCATTGGAACTGATCCGTGCTCAAACCAACCAAATGGCTGAAGAGCCAGCAGCCTTGAAGCCGCCCAAGATGGACATCCCAGTGGTGGAAGGAAAGAAACCACCACCACGGGCCCATAACCTCAAACCCCGTGACTTGAATGTGCTTACACCCACTGGCTTCTAGAGCCCTTTCTTTCCAGGGATTCTGGTAAAGAAGGTTTCTTGCACCCCACTCCCCTTTTACCTTGGCGTTGACATAGGAAAGGTATATTTAAAAACTTAATCAGCTGGGCGTGGTAGCTCATGCCTGTCATCCCAGCACTTTGGGAGGCCAAGGTGGGTGGATCACTTGAGGTCAGGAGTTCAAGACCAGCCTGGCCAACATGGTGAAACCACGTCTCTACTAAAAATACAAAAATTAGCTGGGTGTGGTGGTGGGCGCCTGTAGTCCCAGCTACTTGCGAGGCTGAGGCAGGAGAATTGCCTGAACCCGGGAGGCGGAGGTTGTAGTGAGCTGAGATCACGCCATTACACTCCAGCCTGGACGACAGAACGAGACTCTGTCAAATAAATAAATAAAGTAAAGAACCCGTTAAATTGAGGCTAGAGCTGGAGATGTAATTGGTTTTTGAGAAACATTAGTACAAAGTTGGCCCTTGTTGTGTAGAAGAAGTCATTTTGTACTGCTTTAAAGTTAGACTAAATATTCTCAGCACTGGTGCATGGGGACCTCATTACCTATTTTTTCATCATTTACCCTAGGTAAGAACGTTGATCACTGCTTACTAGGTAAAGAATGTTTGTGCTGTTCCAAAACCCAGACTTCTCGATTCCTTTACCACTATCCACGTGAGCACTGACAAATCATGGCTTAGAGGTGCTCATTGACTCCCTGAGACGACTGGCCCTGTTGATGGCTGGTGCTGTGCTCCAGCCTTATCAGTTAGGGGACCCAAGATTTGTTTGGGACCTGGGTACAGGTAAAAGCCAGATTCGGCAGGGACCCCTCTTTCTAGGCTGAACCCTAAGTCCCCCTGCTTTTTGGTAGACCTAATGGATCACTGTCCTGCAGCCAGTTCTTCTTGTGGGGCCTCTTAGGCCAGTGCTGGGGGAGGCATGCTCCTCTTTCTATGCCACAGAACAAACACTACTCTAGCAGAGCCTTTCTTGCACTTTAAAGTGAGATTAATTTAGCTCTAATTTGGTTAAAAACTTCCTAAGAGAGAAAATTCAGTCTACTGATTTGGTATAGGTAAATGGACATTAAATTTTAAAAAAAGTAAAGGAGATGGTAGGCACAGCTAGATTATAGTCTTGAGGTTCATGTGAAGCCAATGGTGTTACCTTATTTTGCTTTCCTTGTTCAGGTCAGGGCCTGGAATGCCTGTGTGGGGAGGTGAATGAATTCAAAATTTTCTGTATGAAAGCATTTTTCACCAAAATGAGCCTCATCCCTTTATGCAACACATAACCTTACTGAGGGAGGGAAATAGGGAAGCCACCTTTTTATTTCTCCTCACTGTGTACAAGTTCAGTTGTTGTCTTGAACACTGTCTCAAGTACCTGTTTTTTGTTTTGGATAGTACCTGGTCTGTATAAGAAGCTGGCCTTTCCATAGAGAGGCCCTGGAGTCTAAAATTATGAGAACAATTAATTTATTTGTGTCTTCTATTATGATTTCTTGTTTTGACAATAAAAATCCTTACTACTTTCTCAAATGTGGCTATTTTTTTGTCCTTTTAACAATGGTGATTCCACTCTGCCTACCCAGAGTCACAGTGAACTTGGTATTTTGAAAAACCATTGCCTTTTTATTGTCTCCTTTTAACATCAAATGTTTTGTAACACACTTGATCCTTTTGTTTCTACCCTCTATTTATTACAAAGTCAAATTAATAGGCAATATAATAGGTCTAACATAGAATGCTTGCATTTCATTAGGGAAAAATGAACGTCTCTCCTGAAACAGGTCGTCGGTACCTTGAATGACATAATATTGGTGTATAGAGTGGCTTCAGCAGAGGGATTTTTCCACATCTTGAATGAAAATGTTAAACGTGGTGCACACAGTATTAACCTGTTTCAAAAAAAGTATAGATAAATAATTTATTAAAAAATATATATACCTTGTATATTTAAGCCATATTTGAGAATAGGCTAGGATAGGATTATTTAAAAAAAGATATTTATACTAGAGTTAGAAATTACAACCTACTGATTAAATAATATAGGTTTGGTCTTGTAAGATTTTAGCCACTTTTCCTACTTTTGGAGCTTTTAAGTAGTTGGAGATAGAGTTCAGGAGGTATTCTTGGCATTCGGTGCTTGGCAGGCCCTCAGGAGCTGCTCCAGCCCTTTTGAGAGGGCTCTGCGTCAGGGTTCAAGTCCGCAGCATAGAAGAGCAGGAGCTTCAACAAGTGCACTTTGTCTTGGAGCTGAGGGACAAGAGGCTCCCCCAGCATCTGGATCAGGCGGCTGCGGAAGGCCTCAATCTGCTTCTCTACGTCCACCACTGTGATGTCATCTCCTTGCTGGGGTTTGGGCTTAATCCTTTTGATTATTAAGTCCTTTCGGTCGATCACGGAACTCCTTAAGTGTTCTGCAAGAGGGAAAAAGTCAGCTGGGTGCTCTGAACTGCTTTTTATTCCTTTTTTAAGAAGTCTAATTTTGGTAGGTAGGTAGAGTCTTGGCAAAGACTTGTTGACTAGCTACAGGGATACAAGTCGAAGGCTATGTGAGTGCCTGCAGTAACTCCACTTCCAGGAGGCCCTTTGTTCTCAGTTCTCTAGGGTCCTTAAGTTTTACATTAAAGTGATACGGTTGGGATCGGTGTCATTTTTTATGATCACATAAAAAGCGGTCAAAAAATGAAAATACTGGGGAAACAATCAGACATCTTCATCTATTCCATGTTCTAGCCAGTAGTACTTAACATGAGTATGATCATGAATAAACAACTAGACAATCCCAAATTGTAATCCCTAATGTTGGAGGTAGGGCCTGGCGGGGGTGATTTCTCATGAATGGTTTGGCACCATCCCCTTGGTGCTGTTCTAGTGATAACGAGTTATTGTGAGGCCTGGTGGTTTAAAGTGTGTATGCAGCACCTCCTCACTCTTCTGCTCTGGCCACGTAAGACATGCCTGCTTCCTGTTCAGCCATGATTGTGTTTCCTAAGGCCTCACTAGAAGCAAAAGCCACTATGCCTCCTGTATAGCCTGTAGAACTGTGAGCCAATTAAACTTCTTTTCCTTATAAATTACCCAGTCTCAGGGGTGTGCGTGTGTGTGTATACTCCTGACCTCAAGTGATCTGCCTGCCTCAGCCTCCCAAAGTGCTGGGATTACAGGTGTGAGCCACCGTGCCTGTCTGTTCCATGTTCTTGTTCTTGTCAACAGTATTTAACTAAGTGTGATCATGAGTAAGCAATTAACAATCTCAGTTATGGGACATTTACAAAATAACTGGCCTGGACTCTTAAAAAACATCTACTATGAAAGACAAGTAAAAGCTGGGAACTGTGCTAGACTGAAAGAGACCAAAGAGTATGACCACCAAGTACAATGCTTCATATTTGACTGTATCCTGGCTCAATCTAAAATCAGCCCCCAAAAAAGGATATTACTGGGACACTATTAGATAACATGCTATCAAGAACAAGTTTCATGGCCGGGTGTGGTGGCTTCTGCCTGTCATTCCAGCACTTTGGGAGGCTGAGGTGGGCAGATCACCTGAGGTCAGGAGTTTGAAACCAGCCTGGCCAATATGGTGAAACCCTGTCACTACTAAAAATACAAAAAAATTAGGCATGGTGGTGCGTGCCTGTAATCCCAGCTACTCGGAAGTCTGAGGTGGGAGAATTGCTTGAACCCAGGAGGTGGAGGTTGTAGTGAGCCAAGATTGCGCCACTGCACTGCAGCCTGGGCGACAGAGCTAGACTCCACCTCAAAACAAACAAACAAAAAAACAAAACAAGTTTCGTGAGTGTGATAATGCATAGTGGTGTGAAGTACAATATCCTTATGCTTAGAGATACATGGTGAACATGCTGAAGTACTTAAGCAATAGAATTATAATGGTGTACTTATCAACTGTTTCAGAAAAAATGGTACATAAATGGATCAATAGGTAAACCAAATGTGTCAAAATCTTAGCAGCTAATGAATCAACATAAATGGTATATATATTTGGGCGTTCGTTGTACTGTTCTTTCAACTTTACCGTAGGTCTAAAAATGAAAACACTCAAGAAAACAAAAAGTTAAGGCCATCCCCAATAGATTCTAGAAGCATGTGAAATTGAGGCAAATGAGCACAAGGTCACATTAGGCAAATGTATTGAGAGAGTTCTGGGGACTCGAAGACTTCCAGTTGCATATAAGTACACCATCATTTCTCAGTCTCCTCATTTATCAAACGGGGATGATGGCATTTTCACTAGCAGTTATTAAAAGGATTGAGCTACACTGTGTCCAGATTTAGGACACAGAATAAATCATTTTAAGCGGTATATCAGGTTACATTTTCAAGTAATACATTCAATATGTTTTTTCCTCAACTTTCAGAAGAAATGCCTGAAAAGTAAAATCTCTCAAAACTAAAGTCTGTAATCTGCGAAGAAGTATAGTAAGTATACAACAGCATGTTCAGAAAGTCTGGAAACACAGGAAACAAAGCGGCCTCGAGATGGAAGTGCAAGGTCCTTTCAACATTCAAACAGCACACATCTACTGAGCACCTGCTGCACATCTGGAACTGGCTAGAGTCTGGGGACAGTGGAATTCAGAGCCTTGGGCCCAGTCCTTGTAGACTGATATTCTAGTTGCAGGAAGCCTGACAAGTTAGTCAACAATATTGATTGTAGTCTGTGGCAAATGCAATCAAATAAATAAATCAGATGCGGTGATAAACAGCAACACTGGGGGGAATAAGGGAAGCAGCCCACTCTAGGAGGGTCTGTGAGCTGAGTATGGACGGATGAGGAGGCAGCCATGCAAAGGTCAAAGGGAAAAGCAGTCCATGGAGAACAGCAAGAGCAAATGCCCTGAGGAAAAGCATGCCTGAGAACTAGACAGAAAGTCAGGGTAGTAAGCCTTCTGCCATGGTAAGACGCAGCAAGAAGTCCTTCACGCGTGCAGCCCCTCAACCTTGGACTTCCCAGCCGCCGGAACTGGGTGGAAGCACTGGGGATGCATATACCACATGTTAATTGCATCCATGGAAGGCAATGGAAATTACATTTGATACTTAAAGTGTTTCAGCTAACATAAAGTAATGACTTTATAAATTGAGAAACTTAAAAAAAATCAGAGTAATAAAAGGGAGAGAAGTACTAGATGAGATTGGAAGGTAGGGCAGGCCACATTATAATGTGGAGTTTGGCCTTTGAGAGCAAAACAGGGTATCCACAGACTTAGAGGGTTGTAAACAGGGAAATATGAGCTGTTTCATTTGTGACTTGTTAAGAACAGTCTTAGGAAGAAAAGAGCCTTTTTGTAGACTTTGATTTTCTTAAGGCATGTGCCACTCTGAAAAATATAAAAATGATTTTGAAAGAAGTGGGAAAAAAGTTGACTGAATAGGGTGGGACGGGGATACTTAGAGGGCAAGCAAGAAGCATTTGGAGTTTATTAAATCCTGCAGGAAAGTTAAAGAAGCAAATGTTAGCAGCGCCCATCTCAGCACTGTCTATGGGGGAGGAAACCCTGGCCAGTGGACTTCAGCCCTGCTAGTCTAGTCAGCAAGGCCTTGGATTTTATGCTTCGGTAAGATGAGAATTGTTATATCAGAGGCTGCTGATTACTGTATGAGGACATTTAGCACTGAAAAGGGTTTGAGCCATAATGCCTGAATCAAGATATTTCAGCTGATAGTATTGTTAGTAGTTTTGGATCAATAAAAGAGTTAGCTATTATTTTATCATCATCATCATCACCATCATCACTATAGGAATCATGTACCTAATATGTCAAACCTGAGCTCCTGATCTTCCTTGCAGATCTTTCTCCATGTCAGCAATGGCAGAACCCTGGGAGTCATCCTTCAGACTCAGTCACTTAAGCCCTGTCAAAGTTATATTCAAAGTGCTTCTGTCCCATCCACTGCCTTCTCCACTGTCCTTCCGTCCTCGCCACACCCTTGTCACCATTACCCCTCCCCTGGCTCTCTGCCAAATGATTCGCTACACATCAGGTAGAGCGGCCTTTTACATTTGCAGATCTGATCATGACACTCCCTTACTTGGAACCAACCACTTTGATGGCTTCACTCTGTTCTAGGAACCAGCTGAATTTCCTTAGCATGGCCAAGATGGCCCTTCGCAACCTGCCCCATGGACTACTCTAGTCTCATTTAGTGTTATTCTCCCCTTACTCACTACATCCTTGCCCTGCTAGCTTGTTCTATGTTCCTTGGACTCACTAAGCATCTTTTTGCCTCGAGGCCCTTGGACATGCAGTTCCTTCTTTCTGGAAAACTCTTGTCTCCCCATTTGCCTGGCTAACACCATTACTTCATGTCTTTATTTATTTTTGAGACGGAGTCTTGCTCTGTCACCCAGGCTGGAGTGCAGTGGCACGATCTCAGCTCACTGCAACCTCTGCTTCCCAGGGTCAACTGATTCTTTCTCAGCCTCCCGAGTAGCTGGGATTATAGGCACCCACCACCACACCTGGCTAATTTTTGTATTTTTAGTAGAGATGAGGTTTTGCCATGTTGGCCAGGCTGGTCTTGAACTCCTGACCTCAGGTGATCCATCCACCTCGGCATCCCAAAGTGTTAGGATTACAGGGGTGAGCCACCGTGCCCTGCCTACTTAACATCTTAGATGAGGTATTACTTCTTCAGGGAGGCCTTCCTGGGTCCCTCCAAAAATAGACTTTGTGCACTTGTACTTCCTTCATAGCATTTACTTTAATTGTAACTATAGGTTACTCGTATGATTATTCATTTAGGACCAACTGATCCTACCTGCTTCTGCTTTTCCCCATCCATGGCCTGGGCTCCTTGCAGGGAGGCTGTGTGTGTGACTGTCCTCAGAATGACTGTGACTGACTTCTGTAAGCTATGCTGGCCAGATGAGCAGGATTCAGGAAAAGCATGCATTTGTTCATTTAAGTATTGTATGTTCAAATCCCTAGAATTCATACTCATAAACTCCATGACAGGCAGCACTTTGTAATTTTGCAGAGGCTGAAACTTGAGCCACATGGCTATGCAACTGGGGTGGGGGGATTGATTCTCTCAGTTGAAGAACAAGAACATGAGCTCAACTGACAGCCCAGAATCCATGTCTCTGACAGATCTGTTTGAATCCTGGCTCTGCATCTACTTTTCTCTCAGCCTTTGTTTTCCCATCTGTAACAGGGGGGTGATACCTTCACAAGGTTTTTGGATTATATAAGCCAGTGCAGGTGAATTTACCTAATCTCTTTTCCTCTCTCCCTCCATGCTGAGAGTTCTCCTAAACAAAGGGAAATCTTAGGCTCTCTAATCCCTTCCCTTCTTCTCCCACTCGTGCAGCTAGACAATTAGTGGAGCTAGACAACTCAGACTAATCTCAAAATGCCCTCAACCACATCCACAGACCACGCGCAGAAGGCAGAGATGAGAAAGGGGCCCTCACAGTAAGATGCTTACTGACTGACAAGGACGCTGACTATTGCAGGGTACCATTCGGCTGTGTTCTTTGCAGGACAATGTTTTCAAACTACTAGTGCTAATTTTCCTCCTTCCCAACTCTTGGACCTCAAAGAAGCTGGAACGAACATTAAGGATAAAACAGCATTGCAACACACCCCATTTATTCTTGGTCAATATATACTGGTCTGAGGCCTTTCTCTCTCTTATCAAAACATAAAAAATATTCTGTAATAAAAGTAGATTCCGTTTCCATCTTAAGTCATTATTGCCCATGATAGGTGTATTCCCTGGGAATTGAAATAGTAAGGGAACAAAAAATGTGAAAGGTAAACTTTAAAACAAGCTGTTTAATATTAACCTTTCTGGTACTCTCCAAAACAATTACATAAGCCTCCTTGAGGCTAAGAACACATGGAACTTGCCTTCGGGTCTTTGTTCTGAGAAGGACATGCACCTTTCTTTGAGGGTGCTACAAAATGCACAAACTGCACAACCACATATCATGCATGAACTGGACAACATACTTTTTTGTTTGTTTATTTTTTTTGAGACAGACTCTCACTCTGTCGCCAGGGCTGGTGTGCAGTGGTGCGATCTTGGCTCACTGCAACCTCCGCCTCCCGGGTTCAAATTATTCTCCTGCCTCAGCCTCCTGAGTAGCTGGGATTACAGGACCCCACCACTATGCCCAGCTAATTTTTTGTATTTTTAGTAGAGACAGGGTTTCACCATCTTGGTCAGGCTGGTCTTGAACTCCTGACCTTGTGATTTGTCCACCTCGGCCTCCCAAAGTGCTGGGATTACAGGCATGAGCCACCATGCCTGGCCGACAATGTACTCTTTTAAGTGTTAGTTACAAGAGTCTGAAACACAGAGAAGACCCTTAGCCTACCTCTGCCCAGGAACACAGGAAGACAGATTCAATAAAGATTAAACACTTAATACTTTTTTCACACTCAAGAATAATCCTTGCAAGTTACATACTATCATCCCCATTCTATAGAAGGAAGAAACCGAGGCCTAGAGACAGTTAGCTGCCCAACACGGAGTAAATGGTGAAGCGGGGATTTAAACTCAGACTTTCTGTCTTAAATCCAGAACTTTTTTTTTTTTTTTTTTAAACGTCTCTACAACAGCTTTGTCAATTCCTGGCCTGAGAGGGTCTGAGGGCTATCTTACCTTCTCAAATGCCATTACTGAGTTAAAATAAACCTCAATATGATCATGGGCATGTGCACTTCACTTATACACTTTTGTCGCTTACTATTTGGGAATAAGTTGCAGACACTGTGCCCTCTACCCTCAGTACTTCAGTATGGATTTCCTGAGGCCAAGGATATTTACTATCACAATCCAGTATGATTATCAAAAATAGGGAATTCAGTATCCACACAATACTGTTATCTAATCTATTAAAGTTTTACCAATTGTCCGAACAATGTACTACAGCCTTGCCCTGCTAGTTTGTTCTATGTTCCTTGGACTCACACTAAGCAACTTCTTGCCTCAAGGCTCTAGGACATGCTGTTCCTTCTTTCTGGGAAACTCTTGTCTCCCCATTTATGATTTCTTTTCTCCTGTTCAGGATCCAGCCTAGGGTCATGCACTGCATTTAGTATTTATGTGCTTTAGTTTCTCTTAAATATGGAAGAGTATCTCAGTCTGTCTTTGTTTTTAAGACACTAGCACTTTAAAAAAGTACAGGTCAGTTATTTTATAAAAGGTCACTCAATCTGGTTTTGTCTGAAGTGTACTGGCCATTGGATCGCGGTCATAAACTTTTGGCAAGAACATTACATACATTATGATACATCCTTCTCCGTCAATCACATCCAGGAAAAATGCCGGGTTTCTCCCCTAGCAAGTTACTAGTTTTCCTCTAGTAATTAATAATTCATCAGTTCTTCAGTTTTCCCACAGGCCTCATTAATCCTTGGCTAATAAAATCATTCTCATTTGAAGCAGCTATTGTATCATTATCCTGGTCAACATTTACTTTCTGAGGGTTACCAGGTCTAACTCTCCTACATCGTCATTGGTCACTGGCTTCACCTGTGACCTGAGCAGCTTTGAAGAGCCACTTTCATAGACTTAGGGTATCTTACATCTTCTGCAAGATGTACGTGTTCACCTTGCTCCTGATTTGCTCTGTACTTACATCGTATTGACAGATGTTCACAATGTTTACAATGTCCACAGTCATTGAGCAAAGATGCTGCAGTGACAGGCCAAGGGAGGATGCCAGGGGTCTTCAGGTCATTCCTGACTCCTTCTCAGGTTCTGATGACTTCTCTGTTTTTTTTGTTTTTTCCCTTGAGACAGGGTCTCACTCTGTTGCCCAGGCTGGAATGCAGTGGCATGATCTTGGCTCACTGCAACCTCTGCCTCCCGGGTTCAAGCGATTCTCCTGCTTCAACCTCCTGAGTAGCTGGGAGTACAGGCGTGTGCCACCACGCCTGGCTAATTTTTGTATTTTTAGTAGAGACAGGATTTCACCATGTTGGCCAGGCTGGAGGTTCTGATGACTTCTGCTTACCTACACAACCTTACAACTATGAGGACCATGAATTGTCGGCCATAACAAGAATATGTGAATTCTTTTTCACAGTGGTGACTCCAGCTATGTCATTTCTTATCCCTTATAATAAGTTACATACAACCAAGGAACAATGTCAACAAATTAGAATCTCCTGTGTAGTTATGATTAATACAAATGTCCACTGAGACATCCCACAACTCCACTTGTGAATAAACGCTCCTTACCTCTTAAAACATGTTGATAACTGGACAACAGAAACTGCAGATGCTCAACCAATTCGTCCCAAGTCTGCCACTGGCTTTTATCTGACTGTAGAGATAGTAAAATTGATTGATAATAAATGCCTTCCCCAGTTAAAATTTTTGTACAGTTTTCAATTCACCTTCACAGAATGCTCAAACAGTTGTGTTTTAAGCTAAAATCCTATGGGAAGGGTTCGGGTTTAGAGCAAAGGAAGGTGCTCTAGGTCTGAAATTGAGCAGGGAAAAATGTACCTGACACTTGAGCAGCGACGTAGAATTATTCAGAAAGTAGAGGGCCTGCGCCAGAGACAGAGGCAGGCGGGTGGGTGTCTCGCAGCTGTGGAGGAATATGATCTCTAACACTTTGCAGCGCAGAAGGTGGCTTTCCATGGTAGTAAAGAACATCTCTCTGTGTGGAGAAGAGGAAGAGGGAGTTAACCACAACTGTGCTTCAAAGAACATAAGCCACGATTCACCCTGAATGTACAACATTTGTCCTAAAAAAGACAGGTAAGAAGGAATACCATGGAGGCCTACAGAATCACAAAACCTGTGGAAAGGGTAGAAATGGGTTTGTTGGATTAGCAACGGCTAGAATCAGGAAAAAGTCTTTCACATTTGACAGAGACAAGTTTAGGATACATTAAAAATAATTACTACACATTGTAACTATGAGAATTCATCATGAGAATATTTCTGAATGCCTATGATGTGCCAAATACTATTTGGCACAACAAGGAATATTAAGATAAATAAAAGAGGGAACCACTCTCAAAAAGCTGATAGTTAAACAGGGGCAAGGGGTACGCAAAAGGAACTTAAAAACGTTCAGGGCAAGTGTGCTCGTACGCAAAGTGCTAGTGGTGCTCCAGAGATACACAGAAGAGAGAGCACATTTGGTCAGGGGACTGGAAGTGGCCTTCCTATGGAGGCAGAAGCACTGGTGAGAGTGTTCTAGGAGGGGCAAAAAAGGCTCAAGGCAGGAGGTATTTCTTTCTCTCTCTCTTCTCTCTCTCTCCCTCCCTCCGCCCACCGCTCCCTTCCTCCCTCCCTCTCCCTCCCTTCATCCCTCACCCCACACCCCGCCTTTCTGACAGGTCTCACTCTGTCACCCAGGCTGGAGTGCAGTCGTGTGATCATCACACACTGCAGCCTCAATCTCTTGGGTTCAAAGTGATCCTCTGACCTCAGCCTCCCAAGTAGCTAGAACTACAGGAGTATGCCACTGTCCCGGCTAATTATTTTCTTGTAGAGATGGGGTCTCACTATGTTGTCAGGGCTGGCCTTAAACAATCTTCCCACGCTGGCTTCTCAAAGTGTTGGGATTACAGGCATGAGCCACTGTGCCTGGCCATAATATTTTTTTATCTGAAACTATTTTCTCTTCTAATTTTTATGCCAGGGCTTGCTTTATAATCTGCAGATGGTAAACTCAGAGATCTACAAAGGGCAAGGACACAATTTCAATATATTCAACACACTAGGAACTGTAGATAGAATTACCTATAGCAATTCAAATTAAAAATTTAAAAACAAGGCCAGGCACAGTGGCTCACGCCTGTAGTCCTAGCACTTTGGGAGGCCGAGGCGGGTGGACTGCTTGAACTCAGGAGTTCGAGACCAGCCTGGGCAACAACGGTGATACCCCGTCTCTACTAAAATACAAAAAATTAGCCAGGCGTGGCAGCGTGTGCCTGTAGTCCCAGCTACTTGGGAGGCTGAGGCAGGAGAATCGCTTCAACCCAGGAGGTGGAGGTTGCAGTGAGCCGAGATCGCACCACTGCACTCTAGCCTGGTCAACACAGCCAGACTCCATCTCAAACAAAAAGATACAAATAAAAAAGAAAGGCCAACATCTAGATCCAGCCTCAACACAGTAACTGTTTTGGACTTTCTTTTCTGTCATCCAGAGAAAATACAGAAAACAACCATTTTCAGGCATTGGAGAACTTCCTACAAAGGACTGCGATTTTTTTTTTTTTTTGAGACAGAGTTTTGCTCTTTTGCCCAGGCTGGAGTGAAGTGGCCTGATCTCAGCTCACTGCAACCTCTGCCCCCAATCCCCAGGTTCAAGCAATTCTCCTACCTTAGCCTCCTGAGCAGCTGGGATTACAGGCGCCCACCACCATGCCCAGCTAATTTTTGTATTTTTAGTAGAAACGTGTTTCACCATGTTGGCCAGGCTGCTCTCGAACTCCTGACCTTAGGTGATCCACCCCCACTGCCTCCCAAAATGCTAGGATTATATGAATGAGCCACTGTGCCCGGCAGGACTGCGATTCTTGAGAGAAGGGAAACAAAGGTGGCAAACTTCATCTACCTCAGATTTCTTGCTGGGGGCACTTTCTAATGAAGGCAGAGGAAGGTGTGGGTCCAAAATAGAAGACAGTGGGCTTCTTGGGCAGGCAAAACAGAGACTGGAGTTTAGGACAGCTGAGGTGTCTGGAACTCGTGTCAGAGAAGAGGGTGCTCAGGAAATGTGTGTAAGGGAACGGGGAAGCCCCAAAAGCCTGGTGGAGAACAGCTACTGGGGGGCTGCAAGCTGACTGGGAATGCTGGAGATCTCAGAGTGCTGAAAGATACTGGTGTTTCAAGGATCAGTGTGGAGAGATCTCACGGAATATCCTGGACATTCAGTTGAGACCCCAGAAAGACTAAGCCTCAAGAATGTAGCTCCTTAGTAAGGGCTGCTGTGGAGCCATCCTCACAAATCCTAGAAACACGCCTCCACAGGAAAAAGCTAATCTGCCAGCAAATTAACTGCCTGCCAGAATAAAAGTCAATACTCTTTAAAGAAAGAGCGCAAAATCCAGACTCTCAACAATGTGGTGCCCACAATGTGCAGCACACAATACAAATTAGCAGATAAGTAAAAAAAGCAGGAAGATGTAATTCATAACCAGGAGCAAATGTCCACAGAAACACCAGGAGGTGATACAAACATTGGAATTAGTTGCGAGGGGCTTTTAGACAACTATTATAACTATGTTCAAGATTTTCAAAAGCAAGCAAGTAAATTAAGATGTACATAATGAGTGACTAGATGAAGACCTGCAGCAAAAAGAACAAAAAGGAACCAAATATCAACTCTAGATTCTAAAAATACAATAATGGACTTAACAGCAGATTGGGCACTGGTGGAATAAAAGGAACAGAGATTTTAAAGACTATTGAGAGAGAGAGAGGGAGAGAGAAAACAAAATAAATGAAACTAAACAGCAATAGAAAACATAGAGCCTCAGTGATCTGTGAAACAGATCTATATGTACACTTAGATTCCCAGAAGATAAGAGAGGTTAGGGCAAAAAAAAAATACTAAAAATATATATTTAGGCCAGGTGCGGTGGCTCACACCTGTAATCCCAGCACTTTGGGAGGCCAAGGTGGGCGAATCAACTGAGGTCAGGAGTTCAAGACCAGCCTGGCCAACACAGCGAAACCCCGTTTCTACTACAAATATAAAAACTTAACTGGGCGTGGTGGTACACACCTGTAATCTCAGCTACTCAGGAGGGTAAGGCAGGAGAATCACTTGAACCTGGGAGGTGGAGGTTGTGGTGAGCTTAGATTACACCACTGCACTCCAGTCTGGGGGACAGAGTGAGACCCTGTCTCAAAGAAAACAAAAGAAAACACCAAAAAATCCCCACAACCTGGATGAATCACCAGGGAATTATGCTCAGTGAAGAAAGCCAGTCCCAAAAGGTTACATACCAAATGATTCCATTTATATCATTCTTTTTATTTTTATTTTTGAGATGGAGTCTTGCTCCGTAGCCCAGGCTG